ATTGACAGCATACTCGACGGCATGGGTGCGTTGCATGGCTGCAAGAGATAATATTAGCAGAGAGAAGAAAAACAAGGTGACAGCCATGGTAGCTTAACTTAATTATAAATTGCTTCTCTGTTTCCTTTTAGGAGTTTTTTTTTTTTGGCAAGAAATATCTTCTTCTCTATTGTTAGTACAAGAGTTTGATGGCAGTGGCTAGGACTTTGGCTTTCTAAATTAATGATATCGTTTCAAAAGTTTTGGTCTATCCAATTAACCATAATACAAGAGAAAAGACAATACTTCATACACATAAATTGTTGACATTTACATTTTTTTTTAATTTAATCTATATGTTATCAAATTTTGACGTCTATGAACGAAACTTTGTTATATGCATATAACATTAACGTAAGAGAAAAATAGATTAGTTTCTAACCTTGTTTTTGTACATCCAAGTAATGGTGATAAAGCTGCTGATTTCATGAATTTTTTAGTTTTAACACAATCATTTTAGATGTTAAGGAATATAAAGGATAACAAGGGGAAACAAACAACAATTCACACCAAACCAATTGGGACGAGAAATTAAAATATACGACCAAGACAAGAATACCACAATTGGAGCAAATTAAGGGGCCCAATGTTTTTGTACGTTTGTTTAATTAATTCAGTAGGTAGATAATATATTGTAGATTAAAAGAAATCATAAGCAGAAAAAGGAACGAGTAAGAGGAAAACAAATGGGAACCTGCCAAATAAATCGATACAACGAAAACCAACCACCCAAGCTAACATATTCAAAAACATATTTAAACATGGTATATTTGAAGTAAGGGTGAAAGAGATAATATTAACAGAGAGAGGAAATACAAGGTGTGAGCCATGGTAGTAAACCTGACCATGGGCTGGATGGATCAGGCTCTGAAATCCATGATGCAGATTAAAGCAATCAAAGATTGAATTCCTGCCAGAGATCCACTAATATATACATGCACATGAATAATAGTTAAATAAAGAGGGCATGAACTTACAAAGCTAAGTACAATGGCATTCCTGAAAGGCTTGTTTTCAAAGGCTTCAGTGCATGGCATGTAAGAACCAAGAAAACTGCAAGCAGCTCATAAGAATCATCAAACCAAATCACTCATGATCTAGGTGCAAACTAACCACTGAGAATCTGCTGTTACCTCAATAATCACTAGAAGCTTATAAGAAAATCATAAAAAATTTAGGAAAGTTCAGATCAAACAAGTTACCTTTTGTGGCACTTTTTGTATATAATCAAAATGACTCCGAGGAAAAATTCTGGAGTCCATTATCTCACCAAGTTCAAAAGATGGTGCTCAGTTTCAACTGCCCAACTCACACAAAAAGAATAGTGGGGAAAAAAAATGGGAAAGCTACTATTTAATTGCATACAGACAGTATAAGAACAGATATAGTATAAGAGCAGAGATAGTTTAAGTTATTATGGTTAGACCATGTGTATCAAAGGTATCATAAGCCAATGCGTAGAGATGAGATAATGAAAAATGATAAGGAAATGCTTATGATTTAGCAGAATATATGTTCTTGGCACAGACGAATAACAGAATGGTTCTACGTTGTGGATCAAGCACAAGATAATTTGATGAGGCTTTACCAAACGTAGTTTTATAACACGAACAAAGCATGCGAAGAAAACCTGAAAACGGTAAATGAAGAAACTAGAGAAGACTGCAGGTCAATGACACATCACGTTGATAGGTTATCTATAAGAGAAAAATCACCTGTAGATATGGATGAGACTGGCTGAATGAATGGAAAAGCCACTGGAATGATGTTCAATCAGCTCAAACCTATTGAACAAGACATTTATATCAACAAGGCTAGCCAGACAGAAAATACTAGAGTGAAAATGTGATATAGATGCAAAATGCAAGGACTGTTAGAAAGCTATATATTTTTAAGTTACTGATAACAGAATATAACCTTCTGGCCCCAAAAAAATCGGAATTTTAGCTTACCTATAAATCATGGAATCACAATCCACTATAGCAATGCAGTGATTAATTTCTTTCATGATTTGCTAAATGTGCAACAGCTGAATGAAGGATCCATGTTGACATCTAAAGAATCCCATGGACAGTGGCATTACTTGCTTAGAGGAATATGTTTTCATCAAACGATGCCTAGAAAAAAAGATTTGAGGATACAAAAGCAAATAAAACATCAATTAGGAAACACCTTGAAAGTCAGTTTATAATACATGAAAAATATGAAATTGGGTAAAAACAAGAATGGCTTTATGTAAAGAAGTTAGAATTGAAAACTCCGGTGCTAAAAGTATATTTAATTTACCAAAGCACAAATCCTGGAAATGAAGAAGTTAGAAGTTAAGACAAGAGCTCATACAGAGCCAATGAAATTAAGAAGCTGGAGATTTAGCATATATGGGAGAATTGCAGAGCATTCCAACTTGCCAAGCAAATTCTCCTGTCACCAAAGGGAATAAATCATTTAAATGACATTGAAATGTACATGCCCAATCAGTTAATGTGTCAGAAACTTGTATCAACATCAGAATAAAACTTTTCTCAGGTAGACAGGTATGTGTAACTCTGTAGAACAGACGTATGTTTATTTATTGCTTGTGTTGAGCTTTGAATATGCTATATAAGTTGAGATAACATGCGCACTTACGTGAAAGAAGTGAATGGTAAAAGGTGGAACCAAATTCTCTTTTGAAATTTGAATCCAAATGTGGATGCTGGCCAATGGCTAACACTTGGGGACTAGCAAACAATGGCTATTAAAGATCCAATTCAAGATTTTGGGCCTTTTGGCTAATAATATTTGATTAAATTTAGACTTATCCTCCCCTAATTATTATTAACTTTTTTTAAACCCCAAATTATTATTAACTTAACCAACCATTAAGCACTCACTAATTTTTTCCATTACTAAAAGAAAATTGTCAATCTCCGTAAATAAGGTCACCAATCATACCCACCAGCCACTAACTAAAACCTGAGAACTGTGGTTTCTTCATGAAAAATATAAAAATTTTATGGAAAAAATATTTTTTGAATTTTTTAAAATAAAATTTTAACATAAGAATAGATTTTTTCTTAAAATTTTTACAATATTAAAAAATTTTTTTATGGATTTTCCTCTTTTTAACAATATTAAAATATAAAATTTTATGAAAAATTAAAATTTTTTTCTAAAATAATATTTTAACATAAAAATAGATTTTTTATATTAAAAAATTTTATTTTACTTTTTTTTGAAAAAAATCAGCAAAAAATTTGTTTTTTAAATACAAATACTTTTAGCTTTTTATCTTCAAATTTTAAGAAAGAATATTTCTTTATTTTTTCAAAAAATTTTAAAATTTTAGATTTTTTAATTTATGAAAAGAATTAATCTCTTTCAAGATTTTGTTTTCTTTTTGTTATGATTTTTTAATTTTAATTTTTTAAAAAATAAAAAAATTGTTAAAAACTTAAAAAATGTAATAAAAAGTTAAAGACTTATATAAAATAGTTATGTTTAATCTTTTGTCAGTTAAAATAAACATGTCATCAATCATCATGGACATCATTTTATATATCATCTTATATGTAAAACATCATCTTTGCAATACAAACTATCGTTCATCTCATTTAATGAAATTAGAATTTTTACATAATTTTAAAAATTTATGATTTTATTTACATGTAAAAAATCAAGAGTTTATATATCCATATTATACAAAAAATTAAAAATATTGGATATTACCCAATGAATTTTATCAATGATAAATTCAAAAATATGGTGCTTAGTCTTCAAACGAGGGTTCAAAGTTCAAACTCTCGCTATTCGTTATGTCCAATTGACTATTTTATCGAGGATGTAAATGGATAGGGTATAACAAAAGTAAAGTATTTTTTTATCTTTATATTTAGGTTTTTATATTATATTCATCTTGTATACATATTCAAAAGATATTTTAAATTTATCTACATTTTAATTCTTGTAAATATTTAATGGATATTACTAATTCTATACCCATAATTTAAAAAATAATAATAAATAAAATTTATTTGTTTAACTTTTTATATTTTTATCTTGTATATTTAAATTTTTTTTACAAATATATATTTTTTAATAAAAATATATTAATTTTAATTAATCTAAAATAAAAATTTATATTATGTTATAAAAATTTTATTCATTAAATATATATATATATATATATATATATATATATATATATACGCGCACACACATATAAGAGGTATGAGTACAGAATGGATACTATATTGTTTATCATCATCTTTGTATCAAATAAAAATTTAAAATTATACCCATCTCTAACCTTATATCCACAATATAATACCTATCCTCATATCCATTATGATAAAAAAAATCTAATTCTTCATTGAATATAAATAAAATTGACATATTTAATTGAGAATTTTGATAAACTCTCATTTTATTTAAAAAAATTAAAATTAAAAATGAAAAAAATTGAAAGTATTCATAATTTGATTTTAATCGAATTAATCATTTGATTCGATTAATCGATCAATCACTAAATTAATTTGAATCAGTAAATAAAAATGATTTTTAAAAAATTTTGATTTTTAATTAATTCAATTCAAAAATTGAATTAACCAAAATTTTAAGCAAAATATAATATAATTCAAATATAAAATAAAAATAAATAAAAATAATTATTTTTTATAAATTATTAAATTTTTTAATATAATACTTTAATATTTAAATATTTTGTTGAATAATTGTATTTAATTTGTTTAAAATATAAAAAATTAAAAATTAAAAACATAATATAATTTAAATGTATTTATTATTCAATTAACTGAAAAATTAATTAAAAATAATCAATTAAAATTTAAAATTAATATATTCAATTCAATTAATAAAAATAATTTAATTTTACATAATTTAATTTAAAATTAATCGAATAATGAATACTTTAAAAACTACCCTAAAGAAAACCGCTTGGAACAACAAGCCCTTTTCTCAAATTTGCATTGGTAATTGATTAAAGCCTTGAAGATTTTACAAGTTGAACCCATGCCAATGCCAACCCAAGCCCAAGAACCCACATGGTGCTTCCAAAAAGCAAAATGAAAAAGATACCCTTTGCTTTTGGCCATTCTCTTTCCCCATTCCATTTTTTTCTACTATTCCATTCGTTCAGTCAATTCTATAAAACCAAAAAAGGACTCACTTTTTTATAATAGTTATATAATATACATCCATGAATCCCCGTATCTCTGACTCAGGAGTTACCTTTCCCATGTTCCTGTTTTTTCAACTCCTTTTTACCCCTTTGATGATTCTTTTCAAGATGAGCTGTCAAAATCTCTTCAGACAACAATTTGAGAAGGCACTGCTTAGCTCCTAGGCCTTAGCAAAGTAGCAACCATATGCAAAAGTATACTTCGAAACTAGCTGGAAATGATTTACTGCTTTATTGCATTGTTTCCCATAGCTGGCGACCAGAAATCAGCACCGTTGGTATTCGCCACATGTGCAGTGCAGGCAACTGGGACCAGGCATAGCCCCCTGCTCTTCAGGTCCTTCCTTGATTCTTCACCTCCGCTCTCTCCACCGTTCTAACAACACAGTGAAAAAAGACCCTTAAGTCCTTTTTTTAACCTTTCGTAAAAAAAACTAGACTAACATACTTTAAAGAACTGGGGTCTTTTACTTACCGGTAGGTGTTGCAGGTAAGGAGAGCACAGGACTTGAACCTGGTCGTGCAGGAACCTGATATAACCCATCGCTTCATGGAGCACTGATGCCGTATCTGTCTGCAAAAGTGTCACACACCATTCATTTTCGAGTCAAATCAAATTTCATTACGGTTGATTACTTTCTCCAAAGTCATTGAATCAAATTAATCATAAGTTAAACTCTGAACGTAATTTCGCACCTTGCCAAAAGGTGAAACTAGCTGCTGCAATGCTGTGATTCTATCCCCTAGCTTCTCTTTCCTCACCTGTCATTAATTAGAGAAGGAAATCATCTGGTGAACTGATCTTTATAAGCTGGAAGTTTCAAAACAGACCAACATGTAAAACATGCAATTATTAGTTAAGCTAGAAATGCAAGTTATATGCAACCTTTGCATGGCCGGTCGAAGAGGCGGGGTTCTCGACCTTGGACCTTTTATTGGCTCTTTGGCTTGCCGGTTGAGCTGTATCAATGGCACCCGTGCCCTGCATCTTTTCTCGATCGCCATTCCTCTTTCTCTTCCAAAGAGTAAACAAAAGTGGTCTTAAAATAGTCAGCTTTCTTTGCACTTTCTAAAAAAGAAAAAACAAAAACCAAAAGCCAAAGGTTAACACAGGCTATGCACTTAATAACTTATCACACTCACATTAGATTTGGCCGGAGCCTTGACAGATTTGCTGTTGTTACCGGAAGAAGCTGAGGAAGAATCACTGCACGTGACCCCGGATCTTTGAGGAGTGGTAGCAATTTTTGTAGTATTAATGCAAGATTCGGCAAACACTATTTCAGCATCAGTATGATGGCCCCCGAAGCAAAGCATTTTGGGAGTCTTCTCATGAGCAGGAAAAGAAGAGAAAGTGTAGTTAAAACTCTGGCCCAGATCAAGACCCACAAAATCATCATCACCACCAAATAATAACTGAGAAAAACTAGTAGTTGTTGCAGTCCCCCGGTCCCCCTCAAAACCCTGATCAGTCTCAGCCATCATAAAAACACTTTTTAAAAAAGTAAAAACCCAAAAAACCAAACCCCAAAAGATTAAATCGCTTAACTTTCAATCTCTTTTTCTATCTCTTTATTCTTTTGTTTGTATAGTTGGAGAGCAGCAGCCATAACAATAGAGAGAGGATTAGTAGACTAGTGCAAGTGAAAATGGGTGGTCTAAAGTGGTGGGCTGTTTCCAAGATTGGCTTTGGTTTTCGGCCAGTGGCAGTCAAACCCACCTAGCCCGAGAAAACCGTGGTTTATTTGCCCAAAGCATTGGTTTGTAAATTTTGCCTTGGCTGAGCTTATATATGACCCGTTTTCTGCTAATCTCTTTTATTTTCGGCCTTGAAACTCAGAAAAACCTGATCAGTGTTCTGTCACCACCGACTCACTGAGTTGACTTGACGTACAAAAATGAGAAAATGCTCCCCTAAACAAACCTTAAGAGGCTTTGACCCACCCAATGATCACTCTTTCATTTTTGTAAAATATTAAGCTTAACAAAAAACAATGGTTGGTGAGTAAAAGGACAAGGTTGAACAGTTGAACCTTTGTTTGAGGATATACGTATATTTGCTAAAAGTTTTCACTTTGAATTTCAGTTTCACAAAACAAACGTATACAGCAAGTACCTGCTGTGAATGATATGTTGGCCCCCTCTAAGACTACCTACAGACAGAGATCAAATAAGCTGAAAACTGCGGGTCCCAAACCCCATGTAGATAGCTCCATCTGACCATATGACCAAATCTGAGTTTCCAATCAGGTGCACAGCCCTCAATTTAAATCTTTCTGACCCGAAATGCCTCTCAGGGACTGCCTTTGCCCATCCAAACCATCACCCCATCACCATTTTTCATTTTTCAACTTAAGTTTATTCAATTTGCCCATTGTAATTAATGAGATCATTAAATAAAAAATGAGTTCAATTCGAAAGCTTTTTATGTCCCATAAATCCAAGCCACAAGTGTCATTATTTTAATTACCTACCTTTACAATGGTACTACTAGAATGGAAGTAGAAGTAGAAAAATTGAATGCAGTGTCTGCATGTTGGCGGACGCCGCGAGATTTGAAAAGGAAAACGAGACACGTGGTGAAACAGCAAACCACGGATGAGTTCGGTGAGAAGGCACGGCAGTCAAGATCGACCCGACATTTGCTTCATCGCATGCTGCGTTTTCCCACACCTCGTTGGTCGTTGGCTTCGTTCCTGTGCATGTCTCTCTCCCTTCGCTTTGTTCGATGTTTCATTAACAAGGTCCATTTATTAACAAAACTGCCCCCCTTGCACTTACAAAAGCTAGCTTTACTTCACCAGTCATCAGTTAAAATACTTTGTCTTGAATTCGAAGGCTTAAACATGATCACAGGTTCACAAGTTTTGAAACTATGGGCTTAAACATGATGATAAGTTCGGAAATAAAACGTGGTGGGTAGAGGTAGAGCCTAAAAGGAGACAAGTAAAACAGTCACATTATACCAACTCGATTCATCTCGTGGTTATGGACCTTAAAAATACTGAAAAAAAGAAAAAGCATTCTGGGAATAAAGCAACACCGGAGTGCAAGTGTCAAACACCAGATCAAACTCTAATAAACACGAGAAAGATATGCAGGTCTGAAGATTTTCTTACAAGACGTGGAGCAGCGAAAGCCATCATTGATGACTTCCTCCATTTCCTGTATGGTGGAATGAAAATACTAGTTTTGGTCAGACTTGATCAACTATAAGTCTCTAACGAAGATTCAATTCATAATGAGATTCTATTCAAGAAAACTATGTAAAGAGATTTATCACAATCACATACCAGAAAAGCTTCACTAGTATCATACTTATGTTGTTCAAGTTTAGTTCAAGCTATATATTTCATCTATATGAAGGTCATTTACTAAAAGGGAAACTACCAAAATCTAGACATACCAGCCTGTTAAACATTGTCACAAACATGCATTTAGTTCGTATGATGTAAGAATCAGTTACAATCACTGGTTCAATCAAACCAATGCAGTGATGAAGACAGTGCCATGTTCTGAACTAGATTGGGTGAAAGCTCAGCCTAAAAGAACATTTTTAAATTGATTTTGATGTAACCTTCGGGTCATAATCCAAAAATATAGAACCTTGAATTACATTGGGTCTTTTTTTTTCTGTCTGGACCTTCCGGTAGTCACTTTGGGGTAGTCACTTTGGGCACCGACTAATCCAGAATCATGTTAGATCGGATCTTATAAGGGGGGCAAGTTCTCCCAAATCTTTTTTTTTCATTCACAAGACTCGAAACCGAAACCTTGTTTAAGGAAAACTGAACTCCTTGTCACTTAGACCAACCAACAGGCATTGATACATTAGGTCTTCTATAACATGGAAAATTCCTCCCTCAGCAATTTTCAGAGTAATGTCCCTGGTCAAGGTTCCAATGAACCAGATAAAAAAGCTGCCATTTTCATTCTATACCCAGCAATTTTCACATATAAAAGTTCCATTCACCACGATTTTGGTGTCCTAATCTAGGTTCAGTACAGCATTTGTTTTGTAGGAAGTGCTCAGTTGTGCAAAAGCCACCACAGAGAAGTAGCCCTTCAGTTCAAAGACATGAAACATCATAAGGATTTAACAGTGAACTGCCACTGCACCCAAACTGTGTGCATTGTGCTTGTCAAAAAGAAGATGACAACTCAGCCAACAACTATATCACTCATCCATACAGCAAAATTCTGTGAACAATTTCCAAAGCATATGCAACTATGCAAGTGATAAGTAAAATGATACGGCTGCCTATACATGTTGACCAAATCTGAATTATTACTAGAAACTAGAAAAGAAGGAAGTAAAGAAAAGCAAACCCGTTAATAAATAATTAGTCTCTGAATATTCAACATCAAAACTGAAATCTAAGAGATTACATAGGATAGAAAACAGATTTTATAACCAAAATTGCTGTATATATTCAACACTATCTCGAGACGGGCAATGATATTGATATCAAAGAAACATTGCCTAGATTACACAAAGGAAACTAGAATTTGCATTTAAAATGATTAATAAAAAAAAAAAAAAAGCCCACCCGAATCCCATTTTGAGCATTATAACAAACACCTAGTTGACATTACGCGTTCATCCATCGAAGCAAATCTCCTTCAGCTTCTGGGCCGCTAATTCATCCACCGAGTACTGCAATCACGAGAAGACTCAGTGAATTCAACATTTTTATATGAAAAATATATGCACAAAGGTTAATATACGTGAATTTAGAGTTTAGAAGCACCTTGTTAAGGACCCAAAGAGAGTGGTTATAGGCGCGGTGGAAGAGCTCGTCGAGGGCTTGGGAGTCGGAGGCGTCGAAGTCCCTATAATTAACGAAGTTCTCGCGGGCGTATTTAGCGTAGTAAGGCCTCGAGTCTTTTGGCAAGCGCCTCACCAACCGTAGCATCTGAGCGTAAACTCTCAACGCTTTCTTCATCTTCTCTTTGAAAAACTACTGCCGCTTCGATGCTCCACTTCTGAGGCGTTCTTGCTTCCTTGAACTACTAATCGGCCCATTAGGACACGACTAAAACTGAAATTTGTTTATTACAAAATGACTCCGGTTTGTGTCAGGCCGGCCTGTAAATATTTACTCAATGGGCCAGATTTGTGGGTTTAGGCTGGCCAGTCAGCCCATAAACTGACTACAAAATTTTATTTTACTTTCTCACATATTAACTTTCACCAATTTTAAAAAAAATATTTTTAATGCATTTAATATTAAATTTAAAATTTTTTTTAATAAAATTAAAGTTTCAAAATATAAAAAATAAAAATTTAGATGTTCAAACATAAGATTGAGACATTAAAAAAAAATAGACAAAAAGATTATTGTTTTAATCAATTTTTTCAGATCGAATGAGATTTTTAGAAAAGAAAAAAAAAAAACAGTAGGTTACTGTTATTGAAAATTTGTTGTTGCACTATATTTGATTTTTTTTTTACAACCATCCCAGCCCACTAGTCCAAAAGATATTAGCAATAGTATTTTACAAGTAAAATTATTAGTATTAAACAATTTTAGTTTTTACGAGTAAAATTTTTAAGTATTAAAAAAAAATTCTAATCCTACGTTTGTGATTATATAAAAAGCATAATTTATCTAAAAAGAAGTATAACATATCTTGCATGTGATAATTGCCAGTAATTAAGCATATTAGTAAAATATATGATCCATACAAATTCTTAAGCTAATAATCTCCATCCCTATCTCAGTTTATGTAAATACAAAAAATTATATATTTATATCATATTTTATATAAAATTTATATATATTATAATTTTTATTAATATATAAATATAAAATATATATTTTTTATTTTATTAGATTTATATATAATAATTATTATAATTTTAAATCATATTATATTTTTACATTATGTTATTATATCGTATTTTATATTATTATATTTAAGTAATGTACTTCTCAGTTATAACCATTCAATTTAATTAATTTAAGCTAAAAATGAAAAAAAAATCCGTACGTCTTCAAACAATGGACTAATTGAAATTTACAAAATTTGGGATTTCCAAGATACTCACAAGGCATTGAGAGCAGAGATTAAAGGACTCGGGTTTTTTTTTTTTTAATATGATTCAAATTCAGACATGTAAATTGTCCTGTTTAGCATCTTAATTCTGACGTGACACGTGTAGGCCGCTACCTCCATAAAACGTCAAACTAACACGTCTCGGCTTTGCGACATAGTCCATGGAAAATACCATCGCTTTCGTTATCAGGTAATGAAACCAGAAAATGAAAGAATTTGCTGCAGTAAATAAATATAGATTAATAAATAATTAAACCACTTAGCACCACTAGTTCAATTCCAGGCAGTTCTTCCAGGCAGTTCTTTCATTCGTTCATGGCTTATGTTACTTGCAAGTTGGCGAATCTACCATCACTCGTTCTTTCCTTAAATTACTAACTACGGCAAGAATCTTTCTCTCCGCAGTCCACTGAACTTTTTCCATCTCCCTAGTACTCCAAACTACACATCCCTGCCATCCACCAAGCAAAAATGACGGACATTTGGTCTTTGGATATGTGAGCTTCCTGACTCTGAAGAGTGGGCCGAATCTGACTCACCACTAATAATTACACTCGCGAGTGCTGGAAAGAAGCAAGGCGACTCGAGTCGTTCAATCCAACCCAGAGCTGAGCGTAACTCCGAGTCTAATTCAGAGGCGTTTCTGACCTTCAAATTTTGCTTCGAAGGTTTTCAACTTTCCGACAATGAAAAGCCTATTTGGCTTTCTGACGCGTGTCCTCTGTCTTCAGAGCAACCTTTCCTCCCTCTGGTACTCCAGCTTCTCCATGAAACCGTCAACCGTTCACCTGCGGTGCCTGACAGCACCTGCCCAAGGTCCCAGCTCCAGAAACTCAAACCCGAACCAATTTCTTGGATCATGGAGTCTCACTCACCTGACTCATTTTCAAGTTTCTTTAATTTGGTCTTTCTCACGCGCTTTGTTTTGGTTGTGTGCTTGTGATGCTCCTAGCGAATTTGGGTCTTTGTATTTTCAATCTTTGCTAGGTCCAAACATCGAAACCTTAACATGTAAACAAGCGCCAGTGCTGCGGACCTTTCCGGTTCCGTTTGGTGTAGACACTGGGCTATGTTTCATGCGAACCCTGGGGTACATTTTGGCAAAATGGATGATTTTAAGGGAAGTTAGCGTTGGATTACAAACTCTAACGCCTTTGCCAAGGCAGCACTTTGTAATTTCATATGCAACTGAGGCTTATGGATTTTGGACCTTGAAGGGATATGCGCCGGTTAACGCCATGAAACTGATGCATTCCAGTGATCAAAGAAGTAAATTTCCTGCCATTGGAGCCAAGGAGTCACTGTTAAGATATGCCCTTGCACACCAACAGCTTAAGGCAGTCATTCACTTGAAATACTCGGTTCGAATTTACGACGGTCACATTCAGGAAGTGCACGTGTTGACAATTTACGCCTCCACGTGGCTAAACTAAGATTTAGGAAAAAAGAGGTTGCCATGCGTTATTATTTCGATGAAAGACACTTTCAATCGAGGATCCGAGTTTGGATTGGGCCTGAAGTTGGGTCAAGTTATGTGTCCCGGTTAAGCCTGGGTCGCTCCACAAACAATGGAGAAAGAGAAATAGAAACGCAAAGAATCGTTAAAGAGGGTTTCGGAAAATCAAGGACTCCAGGAATTAAAGCCGAAGCAAGAGTGTCCATGAGGAACAAGACGAAGAACTGGAGGTGGGATCAAGACGCAGAAGGGAATACCGCGGTGTTTAATGCAGTTTTAAGTGACAATGTGACAGGCCATGAAATTGCCACATGGAAGTCGTTCGATAATGGTAACAGTAGCAACGGCAACAATAGTTTTCACAATAGGTATTATGGGGTTAATGGGCCATTTACGAAAGCTGGTGGGTTGGTTTTTGCTGGAGATGATTATGGGGAACGAGTGGGGTGGAGATTAAGCAAAGAATGGAAGGAAGTGTTTTGAAGTGGCGAATTGGAGGGGAAGTCCGGTTAAGTTATTGGCCTAACAACATCAGAAATTCTTATGTCTAGACAAGGTGTGTCGAATGGTGTGATGAAGTTGATTTGCCATTGATTCCTGCAAAATAGAATATTAGAGATTTTGAGCTTGTAGACAACCAATATATAGTGCAAACCATTTTATAGTAGAGGACCTCCTAGGCCTTACTTTGAACAATCGCATTGGATCATAGTCCTTTTGTAGATAATTTTTTTTTAAATCAATAGTATTAATAAAATCTGGCTTTTTGCTAGTCTTTATGTTCTTGTAACTGAATATTTTCTCCTAATTGACAGATATAAATGGATGCTAATTGTTATGGTTTTTTAGAATGTGTAAGTACTATTTTGATTAAGTATGTTTCTTTTTATCCCTTGTCCTGGACCACAGGTTTATGATCCATCTCAACAGACTCACATCTCAAATGAAATATATTATTTACACTCCAACTTCTTATCAATACATTCAAAAAATTTAACTTTTGATGAAATTATTAAAATATTCATTAATTAATTAATTTTTTTTATTTTTTACACTTTTTATTTTAAAATTTATGTTCGAAAATTTTTAAAAATTTTTAAAAATTTATTTTTAAAAAGTTTTTAATTGCACACAAATATTTCGACATGAAATCTTAATTTTATGAAATTAAATACGAAATTAAATAAAAAAATAATAAATAATTTATCTTTAATTTTATATTTTTTAACTTCAATGGTTGAAATTTTCTTTGAATTTGATTAGATTGGAGTTTAAAATCCTTTATATTTTAGGATGGGTTGTTTGGATTTTTTATAAATTTGTATTTTAAATTGGGATTATATTGAGTGAAAAATTAAGTATTAACAATAGTGAGCTATGAAGAGAGGAAGTTGGAATGCAATCAATATCATTTAAAAAAAAAAAAACAATCTTATCTTGGGTACCGTCATTATGCAAAAAACAAAAGAAAAAAACGAAAAGAAGGAACCCACATTAGTAATAATTTAAAGGAATGACGTTGAGCAATGACTAAAAAAAAGAGTGTTGTTATTTGCACTCAACATTTTATTAATATAGTCAAAAAATTTAATCTTTAATGAAATTATTTAAATATTTATTAATTAATTATTTTTATATTTTTTATATTTTTTAAAAAAATTACATGTCCAAAAAATTTTTAAAATTTTTTAAAATTTATTTAAAATTTTTTTAATTGCACCCAAATATTGCGACATAAAATATTAATCTTACGAAATTAAATACAAAGTCAAATAAAAAATAAAAAAGAATAAATAATTTATCTTTAATTTTATGTTTTTTAACTTAAATGGTTAAAATTTCTTTGAATTTGTTTAGATTGAGGTTTAAAATCCTTTAGATTTTAGGTTGGGAATAGGGAAAAGATGAATTGTGGGGAGATGGATTGTTTGAATTTTTGGTAAATTTGTATTTTAAATTGGGATTATGTCGAGCAAAAAATTAAATATTAACAATAATAAGGTACGAAGAGAGGAACTTGGAAAGCAATCACTATCGTTAAAAACAAAAACAATCTTTTCTTGGGTACTATCATTATACAAAAAAACAAAAGAAAAAAAACGAGAAGAAGGAACCCACACTAGTAAAAATTTAAAGGAATGACGCTGAGCAATGATTAAAAAAAAAAGTATTGTTATTTGCACTTCAACCTCTTATCAATACATTAAAAAATTTAATTTTTAATAAAATTATTTAAATACTTTTTAATTAATTAATTTTTTATTTTTTATATTTTCTTTTAAAAATTCTTGTTCAAAAATTTTTAAGAACGTTTGAAAATTTATTTTAAAAAGTTTTTAATTACATCCAAATATTTTGATATGAAATCTTAATCTTATGAAATTAAATATGAAATCAAATAAAAAATTAAAAAAAAGATTTATCTTTAATTTTATGTCTTTTAACTTAAATGGTTGAAATTTTCTTTGAATTTGACTAGATTGGGATTTAAAATCCATTAGGTTTTATGTTGGAAATAGAGAAAAGATAGATTGTAAGAAGATGAGTTATTTGGATTTTTAATAAATTTGTATTTTAAATTAGGATTATATTAAGTAAAAAATTAAGTACTAATAATAATGAGGTATGAAGAGAGGAAACTGAAATGCAATTAGTATCATTAAAAAAAAAAAAATCTTTTCTTGGGTATCATCCATCATTATGCAAAAAAAAAAAAAAAAAAGGGGAAAGAAGGAACCCACATTCTGCGCTACTTCTTTTATCACAAAGTCAAAAGCGATCCAAATCCCCATATAGAGACCTCAAATCACCAGCCGCGACTACCAAAACTAGAAAACACCAAGGCCCAAACAAAAACTATATATATTTGATTCCTAAGAAACCAAACAAAAAATTATAATATAAAAAAAACCTTCCGACAAAAGCCAGAAAGAAAGTATTGAAAGTGGATTAGTTGGTATTCTTACAATTTCTAGTTCTAATTTTCCGATAATGGGAGATGAAGAGTGGATTATGGTGCGGCGATCCACAGTGTCAGACCTCTGGAATCCAAGCTCAATGGGCTGCTCCCACTGCCACTGTTCAACTTCAAGGCCACTGAAAGTCATTTTCAAGGAACCCGCCAAGTACTGGACCGACGCCCTTCCCATTGGCAATGGTCGTCTTGGTGCCATGGTTTGGGGTGGCGTCGCTTCCGAACTTATCCAGCTCAACGGTAAACTAAAATTACAATTTTCCTTTTCCTTTTCCTGTTTTAGAAATTTTATCAAATTATGTTTAAGCACTTTTTTATGTTTCTGAATTTCCTTTCCCCTCATGTTTAAGTCATTTCCTATTCCTAGCTTCAACCATGAAAACGAAGAAGAGAATGAAAAGACCATTACAAAATGTATACATTACATTACATGTGGGTATAATACTTGTTTCTGTCTACAAATTATGGGTAAAATTATTTGAAAATGACCGTATATTATGAATTATGCTGTAGAGGACACACTTTGGACTGGGGTTCCTGGAAATTACACAAACCCCAATGCGCCAAATGCACTATCAGAGGTCAGAAAGCTTGTTGATAGTGGTGAATATGCTGAAGCTACTTCAGCAGCAGCCAAGTTGGTTGGAATCCTGCAGATGTATGTTGCTTCATATCCTTTATGTATGTTTTTAACTTGAAAAAAGGCATGTAAACATATAGAATTTCCAAACTCTTCCTGTAGTTTAAGTCATGGATGACATGTCAGTTGCAGTGATTCTACGGGAAAATTGAAATTGTTTTAAGAAGTTTATCCGGGTGGTTGTCTTTTTATGATGAAGGTTTATCAACTACTTGGTGATATCAAGCTGGAATTTGATGATTCTCATCTGAATTATGCTAAAGAAACGTATCAAAGAGAGCTGGACTTGGATACTGCAACTGTTCGAATAAAATATACTGTGGGTGACGTAGAATTTTCCAGAGAGCATTTCACCTCTAATCCCAACCAAGTTATGGTAACAAAGATTTCTGGAAGCAAACCTGGGTCTCTATCCTTTACTGTATCTCTGGACAGCAAGTTAGATCACCATTGCCAGATAAATGGCAAAAGTCAGATTATAATGGAAGGCCATTGCCCTGAAAAAAGAATCCCACCACAAGTGTATGCAAATGACAATCCAAAGGGTATTCAGTTTTCTGCTGTTCTTGATTTACAGATTAGTAAGGGAAATGGCATGATATCTATTCTAGATGACAACAAGTTGAGGGTTGAAGGTTCAGATTGGGCAATTTTGCTTCTGGTGGCATCATCTTCATTCGATGGGCCATTCACTAAGCCTTCAGATTCTAAAAGGGATCCTACTTCAAATTCTCTCACTGTGTTGAAATCAATCATAAATCTCTCATATGCTGATCTTTATGCACATCATATAGATGACTATCAGAATCTTTTTCACCGCGTCTCACTTCAGCTTTCAAAAAGCTCTACATGTAATTTGTGTCTCAAGCAAAATCAAGATGATAGAGTTCCAACGGCAGAGAGAATTAAATCTTTTCAAATGGATGAAGATCCGTATTTGGTGGAGCTTCTGTTCCAATTTGGTCGATATTTGCTTATTTCTTCTTCACGACCTGGAACTCAAGTGGCAAACTTGCAAGGAATATGGAACAAAGATCTTGAGCCGAAATGGGAGTATGTCTATATTCTGTTTCTCTTATTTTTCTCATTTTCTTTCTTACTCTCTTCAATTTGAGCACATGCATGTGTGATTTTGTCATGTCAAACCTTATAATTATATCTATTGGTTTCATTTCTATCAAGGTATCATCTGGACTGTGACTGACTCTGTAATCTCTGTTCCTCAGTTCTGCGCCTCATTTGAACATCAATCTTGAAATGAATTATTGGCCTTCCTTGCCTTGCAACCTTAGTGAATGCCAGGAGCCCTTATTTGATTTCCTCACTTCTCTATCAGTCAATGGATGTAAAACTGCAAAAGTAAGAAGAGTTTTCTCTTTACCCTAAAACCCCTCTAAACTGATTTACTCTCATATCTATAACTTGTTTATACCTGCTAGATTACATGGGTTCAAGTATTCAGATTCTTGCAATTACTTGAAAATCATTGGTCCTGCATTTAGCATCAGAGTTGTATGCTACAAAGAGCTAGGATGTTTTAGATATGTACTCATGTATAATCTATATGCAGATATCTTACTTAGTAGGGTTTTGCCTAACTGGACTAACATAGTGCCTATTCTGCTTTTCCCACCAGGAAACCATAACTTTACAACAGTAGAGCTGGAAAATATTAATATATTATGGCTTATGATTCATATTTTCCTCCTTTTTCCATTCTGCATTTCTTCATATGAAATTCTTTCTAATTCGCGTAATGTAACAGGTCAACTATGAAGCAAGTGGTTGGGTTGTACATCATGTATCTGACATATGGGCAAAATCATCACCGGATGCTGGTAACGTTCATTGGGCATTGTGGCCCATGGGTGGGTCCTGGCTTTGTGTCCATCTATGGGAGCACTACACATATACCATGGACAATGTGAGATCCCAATATTTTTGTAACTTTTTGCCCATTACCCGGAAAAACATCATCACAAAAATTAGTTCCTTGTTTGAGGAATGCCATTATTTCTCTTATCTCAGAAATTTTTTCTTGCTGTTGTACATTAAGCATGCACTATGACGTGCCTTCATGACCGAAAGCACAGTTTTATTGATTTCCTTCATTAACTGAGAAGAATTTACTTATTTTAATCTAGCAGCATGGTACTGCTGATACTTTCATTTTCTTATCACATATTACATTAAAAGAATGAGTTTTAAATATTAATGTGCTTCTAGTTCTTCTATTTGATTAGGATTTTCTTAAAGACAAGGCATATCCTTTGTTGGAAGGATGTGGGCTATTTCTGTTAGATTGGTTGATCGAAGGACAAGGAGGTTATCTTGAAACTAACCCATCAACCTCTCCTGAACATGACTTTATTGCTCCAGATGGTAACCGTGCTAGTGTGAGCTATTCATCAACCATGGACATGGCAATCATAAAAGAAGTCTTCTCTGTGATTGTTGCAGCTGCTGAGGTAAATCCTTTATTCTATAGTTAACAAGAAGAATCCTAGTTCTCCATTTCTCTAAATTCTTTTTATTTTAAGAAATGGTACAGGTTTTGGATAAAAATGAGGATGATCTAGTAAAAAGAGTGCGTAAGGCTCAATCGAGGCTTTATCCAACCAAAATTGCTAAAGATGGTTCCATCATGGAATGGGTATGTTAGTAGTTTGACAAAACTTGAAGTAATTTTTCAAGATCTTGATGTTGAGTCATAAGTTCTGCTGTCCGCAAAATCTGTTGACACTTTTTCCTGGTTAAGAATTTTCCTGTTTGATAGACAGGCACAAGATTTTCAGGACCCAGACGTGCATCACCGACATCTTTCACATTTGTTTGGCCTGTTTCCTGGACACACAGTAACAATTGAAAGTACACCAGACCTTTGCAAAGCTGCAGAGATTACACTTCATAAACGAGGTTGGTCTTTGTTTGCAATCTGGATTGTTTATGTTAACCTTTCAGCACCCTTCTACTTTATTGGTCTTCAGCATCCACCCTCTGCTGTTTGTGTGCTGTGCTTTTTTGGTTTTTAACTAGTTGGTTTTCTATGGTGAAAAAGTGTATAATTGAGATGAGACTAATCCTCTAGAGTAAAGGCATCCTTGACTAAGACAATACAAAACATATAAATAAAGAATATATGTCAATATTAATTGTCAAAATATGAGATTATATTATTTATTGCATGTGAAAGATGTTTATTCAATGGGATGAAGGACTGTGTTTATGTTGATGGAATCAACTGATTTGGTTTAGGCTTAGTTGAGTTTGTTGACTATCAGTCTATGAACAACTTGCGGATCCTACCTAAAATAGCACATAGCTTGAGAATTCAATTCTCTATTCTAACAACATTTTTGTGTATTCCATTTGATTAAATTATACTGTAGAAATAATTTTAGGTTTCAAGCTGATTATTTCTAAGAGTGACAGTCAGGCAGCATTTTCTCTTATTTTTTCATCATTTTACCAGGAGAGAAGGGACCAGGATGGTCAACCACATGGAAAGCTGCTTTGTGGGCACGCCTTCATAACAGTGAGCACTCTTATCAGATGGTCAAGCATTTAATAAACTTTGTGGACCCGGAACATGAGATAGCTTTTGAAGGTGGACTGTACAGTAATTTATTTGCAGCGCACCCTCCTTTTCAGATTGATGCCAACTTTGGGTAAGCTACACTTCTGTTTTTGCCATCAATTACGAATGGCATTTGGTTCAAACTGTCCTAGTTTGATTCAAGCATGATGCCAGGTATTTGTTTACAAAATTTGGAAGTAAAAGAATATTGTTATGTTGAGACCCGTGCCTCTCTCTTATTTGTTATATCCAGTGATGAACTTCTATGCCTCAGTTTTCATTTCCGTTTATGCGGATTTCTTCCTTAAGCCATAGATTGTATTTGAATTATTCCACTTAAAGATCATCAAAAGAAATCTATTCAGTTGGCTTTTTGAACCTAATTGTTTTTTGCTACCACTGCTTTCAGACATTAAAAACATATACTATTGACCAAGTTGTTATTTTTGCAAATTTTAGTGCAGTCTTACAGCAGCAATTGCAGAAATGCTAGTTCAAAGTACCTTGGAAGACCTTTACTTGCTTCCTGCACTTCCCCTGGATAAATGGGCAAATGGATGTGTGAAAGGATTGATGGCACGAGGGGGAGTGACTGTCAACATATGCTGGAAAGAAGGAAATCTTCAGGAAGTTGGTCTTTGGTTGAAAAACCAGAATTCTTTGAAAAGATTAAGGTATAGAGAAACTATGGTACCTGTAAATCTAACCTGTGAAAGAATCTACACATACAATGGGCAGTTAGAATGCGTGAGTACTTGCTCCCTCATTTAATCAGAAGGATCGGATGCGGATCCTTGTGGATGGTGGACACTCCATAAATTTGAGGAACTTTGGTTCCAATTTCGTCTGTTCTATGTTACGCCAGTAGTTTTGCTTTCTGATCGATACTTGTGGAGGAAATAAAGATTTGCTGCTTTCTTGTTTTGTTGTTTCAGTACATTGCATTGAAATCTGTATTATTGTACCTTGAGCAAGGGCCACAAAATTGTAACAAACCAAGATCAGCGGTTTTTATGGGTCATGTTTGGAACAAAGGCCCAGAAAGTCTGACCAACTTAAAACAGTCGAAAGGCCCATAAAGTCCGTAATTGGAAAAATACCCAAACGCCCCCTTCTTAAACCCTAACCAAAACCGCAACCTCTATCACGATTACAATCTCACGCGTAACGCTTCGCTGGTAAAATGGCCTGGCGGTGTGCAGGATCCTTCTCTCGCTCCGTCATGTCTGCCGCCAGAGCTCCTTAGCTTTGCAACCCTCCGCCGCTGGCCCTCCTTCGTCCGCCGACTTCCTCTGCTCCCCGCCTCCTCTCCTTCGCCCCTTCCAGGTCCTTACTTTAAACAGCTCTTTTGGCTCCTTTTTGGATAAAAAAGAAGAAAAAGAAACGGAAAATTGCTAATTTTTCAGTTAACATTGAATTTTTTTATCATAAATGTATTAGAAATGACAGTCGAGATTTACCGGCCTCCGAATCAATTCCCTACAATTAACGAAGTTCTCGTGGGCGTATTTAGCGTAGTAAGGCCTCGAGTCTATTGGTAAGCGCCTCACCAACCTTAGCATCTGAGCGTAAACACTCAACTCTTTCTTCATCTTCTCTTTGAAAAACTACTGCCGCTTTGATGCTCCACTTCTGAGGCGTTCTTGCTTCCTTGAACTACTAATCGGCCCATTAGGGCACGACTAAAACTGAAATTTGGCTATTACAAAATGACTCCAATTTATGTCAGGCCGGCCTGTAAATTTTACCCAATGGGCCAGATTTGTGGGTTTAGGCTGGCCAGTCAGCCCATAAACTGACTAAACAAATTTTTTTTTTTTACTCTCTCAGTTTTGCATTATTTGTTATGTATTGACTTTCACGAAAATTTAAAAAATTAATTATTTTAATACATTTAATATTAAAGTTTCACGATTTTTAATATCAAAAAATAAAAAAATTAACTATAAAAAAATAAAAATTTTAGATGTTTAAAAAATAAAATAAGATATAATTTTGGAACATTTAAAAAAAAGACAAAACATAGAGGAGTATTATTTTAATCAATTTTTCAGATGGAATGAGATTTTTAGAAAAGAAAAAAAAAACCGTCGGCTACCATAATGAAAATTTGATGTTGCACAAATTTGATTTTTTGTACGACCATCCTAGCCCACTAGTCCAAAAGATATTAGCAATAATATTTTAGAAGAAAAATTTTTCGTGTTAAACAATTGTAGTTTTTACAAGTAAAATTTTAATGATAAAAATTTAAATTTTAACAATTTTAAAGTATATGATAAAAATTTAAATTTTAACATTTTTAAAGTATTAAAAAAAATTATAATCCTACATTTATGATTATATAAAAACTATAATTTATCTAAAAAGAAGTATAACATATCTTGCGTGTGATAATTGCAAGTAATTAAGGATATTAGTAGAAAATATCACACAAAAAAATAAAAAATTAATGATAATTTTTTAATGACGTTTTATTTAAAAATATAATTAACTTTCGTGCTTTTAGAAAGCTCGCGATATTTATTATCAAAATATTATTAAATATTTGATTAGTTACATTTGTACTTTTAAACATCATTAAATACAAAAGTTAACGGTGTTTAACTGTTAAAAATCATTAAAAAAAACAAAAGTTAAGTAAATTTAAATTTAATTTTTTTAATGGTGTTTTTTAAATAAACATTACTAAAAAAAAAAAAAAGTAGTGGTGATTTTTATATAAATACTGTGCAAAAAAAAGGAATTAGAGGCGTTTGCTAAATAAATGTCACTAATTTTTCCCTAAAATTGAAACCCATTCCGTTTTGTTTTCTGTGCGCAATTTCTTTTACTTTCCCAAGCTGTTTTGTTTCTTTGCAAACCCAGGCCATTTCTTTTTTCAATTTGCCATTCTTTTCAAACTCAAGCTATCATTTATTTGCCACCTTTCAGCTCCATTTTCCTTTCATGCTTTGTTCAAGTTATTGTTTATTTGCAGTTCAAGATTCGTTTTCTGTTCAAAGTTCTTTACATTTCCATTCCTCCAAGTACTTTTGAAGATTTCACCCGTTCAATGCTCCTTTTTCCTTTCGATTTTTGGTTTGAAAATTTTCTTCGAAACCCATTTTTCTCGAAGAGTCGTTTGGAACCCATTTTCCCTTTCCTTTCCTTTTCTTTTCCAATTGACCACTTATGGCCAGCCTGTTGTTTGAAGTTCAATAGCTTTAGAACCTATTGGGAATGTATTTGCTTCTTTTGTTGTATTGGCTAAACGCAATATGCTTAGGTAGTTTGGTGTTGTGGAGGTTGTTTAGATGGTTAGAAATTGTGGGAAAATAATGGAAAAAGTGATGTTAGGGTTATGGAGCTTGGGTGAAATTATACGGTTTTGTTTGATTGAACTAAATGAGTTAAGTGAGTTTTCGATGAATATCATTTCTAGAGACAAATTAATGAAAATTCATATATGGTAAAACAATATGTGGTGTCAAGGTAACCACATCACCAAATACTATATATGCACCAAGAAAATCTGCATATGACCATGAAATATTGTCAAGCTTACTATTTTCATATGTAGTTGTTGGTAATTTTGAATGTGATGTATCTCACATTGAGTAGAAATACTACTTATATATGGTTTAAAAGAAATTACTTATGTTATTTAAGTAATTGAGTTAAGTGCTGGAGTGAACCAAGTCATTTGGGCTTATTAGGAGTTTTTCTAGTTGGTTAGACAATTTTAAGAGTAAAAATAGGCACTTTGGCTTGTTTAGCAAATAGATTTAATTTTTTAAATCTTTTTATTATTATTATTTATTTATTTCGAAATATTAATGATTCTAAATAAACATGTTTGAATAGTGAAAAAATATGATGATATGAATAAACATATCTGAATAAGAAAACATGACTGTTTAAATACAATTTATTTAACTAATAAAACATGACTATATAGAATGTCATAATTTTTTGAATTGGCTTGATTGGTGATTGTTCATTTATTATAAATAGATTTTTTGCTTGACCAATTTCACTACTTTTGATTTAGAGAGTTTTAAAGTTTTATTGTATCCTATAAGCATAATTACCTTTAAGATAATGTTATTTACACCTCAAAGCCATATTTTTTATTTTCTTACTATTTTTGTTTTTCTTAAATTTACTAACAGTAGTATAATCATAAACAAAATTGGCATCTGTAATCTAAGTAGATTACATGATTGAAAGTGTCAGCAATCAAAATCTATTATTGAGTTTTTTGGTTTGAATATTTGCATTGTATTTTCTTTGATATTTTGTTATTGGTGAAATTTGATTCATGAATTTTTGTGTTTTCATAATCTACGAATGGTTTAGTATTGTTTGGATGGTGGGATTTGTAGATATAGTGAGGGATGAGCCAACAAACAATTTTTTGGATACAATTTTTTCAAAACTAGGAATGCAGTTCCATAGAAGGAATAACCACCCTCTTGGGATTCTGAAGAAAGGAATATATGACTATTTCAATACTAATGACCCCAACATGTTCGATAAGTTTGATAATCTTTACCTAATTTTTTTTGTACAATCAATTTTATGCTCTGTTTTAGAATAATTGATCTAGGATATTTGAAAAATAAAAAAAAAAGTATATAAATTTTGTATTTGTATGGGCTTGTGTTGATCGCCAAAGGTTGTGTTTTAACTTATGATTACATATATTACTATGGAAGCGTGAACACATGTGTGTGATTGTATGTGGGTTAGTGAATGCAAAGGAAACAATAGTTTTGCTAAAATATTGAGTTTATAGACATTACTAAAATATGCTCTATATAGGCTTTTATAGACATTGCTCTCTCATTGTGTGTGATTGAAATCACTACCCTTAGTTATCTACTTCTTAATGATTGTCTTCCACAAATCACCATTTAGTTTTGAGTATGTTTATACTTCTAAAAGCGAATTATTCTGTATTCAAAGTATTTGTTTAAGCTAAATTGAGAGTTTTCCTATTCATGGTTGTCGCATCTTGTGCTTTACGCTTTAAATTTTAGCTTGATGACTTTTTCATTCTTTATTTTTTTTTCTTTTATCAATTTTTATGTGCATGTGGTTTATGGGGTTTTTGCCATCGAGTGAAAGATTGAGCCAATGGGATATAAAAGAAGGTGGAAGACCTGAAGTCCAGTAAAGGAAGAAATTAGGATGCATTGTTGACGGCTTGCTTGTACATTACTTGACAAAAGGACAAGCTATGCACTGTCAAAGGTACAACTTAATATTCTTTTAACATCTGGATGCTTCATGATTTATCTTTCCTAATGGGTATGAGCTTCCCTGAACCCATGGATTTCAAATAGAAAATTGCTTTGTCGCCAATGAAGCCACAAAAAAAGAAATTGACCGAGCAAAAAAATACATAGTGCAACAACTAGGATTGGAGACTTATCAGTCTGTGGAGATAGGAACCATACATGCTGGTGACTTTATAATAAGTTCTCTTTTTTTCTTAAAAAACTTATCTATAGTAGTGTTTTCTGTAAACAACTGTGTTATTGTTTGCCATATGCTTGGAAGGTTGCACTTTCATTATTGAATATTGTATTGTACATTTGTGCTTACCATTTATGGTTGCCATTGACATTAATTTCTTTAATTATCAGATTGTTTAATAAAATTTCAAATTTATAACATTTTTGCATTTAATTTCAATTGAATTCATGTGTTCTTCAAATCTGTTTTGAAATTCATGGTTTTGACCTCTTTGTAGTTTTTGGATTAGTTTTTAATGAATTCTATCTTGTATTGAGCCAAAAAAATTTTGTTAGATTTCTAACTTATAGAGCTTTAATTATGAAAAACATTAGCTTCAAATTCCATCCACAAAAGTACAAAATTTCTCCAAAATCACGCGTGAACTCGGTTGACAAATTAGTTCTTTGCATAAGTAATAGCATAGCAAGGATCTACTCTCCTTCATGGCACTTGGTTTGCTTTTTTTTTCACTACATACTCATAGATTTACATGTTTACTTGTTGGTTTTCAATTTATTGCATTTATTTTCATGAATTTTCCTACTGTTTGGTTAGATTTCTTTGAACATGCTTTGTTTTTTCTAGATTTGTGTATTGTTTGAGTTGTTAGTTCAATAAGCTAGATTTCTTGTTATTTGATGTGATTTCTTTGTTGATTTTTATGGTAAACTTGTTGATGAATCTTACCATAGCTCAATTCCAATTCATTTTCCTTAGAAGTTTCTATATTTAGCTTTTTCTCTTCGTGAATTAGTAAAATTCTTATGCAACTTAGTTTTATGTTTTTATTTGTTTTAGTAATTTTTTATGATCTTCTTTAGTTTTTGGTCTTCAAATAAGTTTTTATTATAGTTCCTTACATGCTATTTTAATTTTTAACTCATGCTCCATTAATTTTGCGTCATTTAAACCTAGATCAGTAGCTTCAAATTCAATTTCTAGATTTTCTTTTCACTTTTAGTTTCAACTTGCACTTTGAGTTTTTCCATTTTTTGCTTCACATTTGAAGTTCAAATTTGTTCTTACTTTAGCTCTTCACTTGTCTTAATATTGCATCATGTACTTTGTTTCTATTTAAATTTAGTTCTAGTTCATGAAGTCACGATTTATCTATAGTAGCTTTGTATTTTTGGTTTTGCAAGATTAGTTATATTTTACATTTAGTAAGTATTTATATTTTTTAATATAAAAATTACTTATTATTAAATGTAAAAACTTATTTTACTTTATTCAATAGATTCTTCAGCACGCTAGCAATTGTGGTGGAAAAATCCTTCATTAAATGACATTGCTCTAAGTAGTCATCAATTTTATATATTTTAAATTTTTGGTTAATGTACTGAAACAATTTGAATGTTATTGTATTAAATTTTGTATTACATACATATTAGAATAAATTATGTATTTAGATATTTAAATATTTATAATTTTCAGTTTATGAATTTAAAAATATTTATCTATTTTTTATTTAATTATAATAGTGAATATTGAAATAAACAACAAAGTAAAATTTCTATTTTAACAACATTTGCAGTGAAAAATACTGTTAAATTTAACAACGTTTGTGTCCAGAAATATCATTAAATGAGGAAATTTAGCAACATTTTTTTAACAAAATAGTTGCTAAATTTAGTAGCATTTTGCAACATAAATGCTATTAAATGAGGAATTTTAGCAACATTTATTCATAAATACCGTTAAATTTAGAGTCATTTTTTGACACACAAATATCAATAAGTTAATGACATTTTAGAAAAAAATACTGTTATTTTTTTCAACACAAGTTTAGCCAACGTTCTTAGCAATATTTTTAGCAAACGTATAATCGTTTAATGATATTTTTAAAAGTCGCTAAATGTAAAAAAAAAAAAAAAACCATTAAAAATCTATTCTGATATAGCATATGATCCATAAAAAATCTTATGCCAGTAATCTTTATATTTATCTCAATTTATGTAAATATAAATATTTGTATATTCATAGTATATTTTATATAAAATTTTTATATTATAATTTATATTGATGTAAAAATATAAAATATAAAATATATTTTATTAAATTTATATATAATAATTATTATAATTTTAAATTATATTATATTATATTTTTATATTATATTATTATATCATATTGTAGATTATCATATTTAAGTAGTGTCTTTCTCATTATAACCATTCAATTTAATTAATTACAGGAAATGAAAAAAAAAAAAATCTGTAGGTGTTCGATCAATGGACTAATTGAAAATTACAAAATTTGGGATTCCCAAGATATTCACGAGGCATTGAGAACAGAGATTAAAGGACTCGGGGCTTCTTTTTTTTTTTATATGATTCAAATTCAGACATGTAAATTGTCCAGTTTAGCATCTTTATTCTGACGTGACACGTCTAGGCCGCTGCATCCATAAAACGTCAAACTAACACGTCTCGGCTTTGCGACACAGTCCATGCAAAATACCATCGCTTTCGTTATCAGGTCATGAAACCAGAAAACGAAAGAAACAAGTGCAGTAAATAAATATAGATTAATTAATAATTAAACCACTTAGCACCACTAGTTCAATTCCAGGCAGTTCTTTCATTTGTTCATGGCTTATGTTACTTGCAAGTTGGCGAATCAACCATCACTCGTTCGTTCCTTAAATTCCTAACTACGTCAAGAATCTTTCTCTCCACAACCAAGTGAACTTTTTCCATCTCCCTATTACTCCAAACCACACAGCCCTGCCATCCACCAAGCAAAAGTGATGGACATTGGGTCTTGGATATGTGAGCTTCCTAACTCTGGAGAGTGGGCCGAATCTGACTTACTACTAATATTTACACTCGCGAGTGCTGGAAAGAAGCAAGGCGACTCGAGTCGTTCAATCCAACTCAGAGTTGAGCGTACCTCCGAGTCTAATTCAGAGGCCTTTCTGATCTTCAAAATATGCTTCGAAGGGTTTCAACCTTCCGACGATGAAAAGCCTATTTGGCTTTCTGACGCGTGTCCTCTATCTTCAGAGCAACCTTCCCTCCCTGTGGTGCTCCAGCTTCTCCAAGAAACCGTCAACCGTTCACCTGCGGTTCCTGACAGCACCTGCCCAAGGTCCCAGCTCCAGAAACTCAAGCCAGAACCAATTTCTTGGATCATGGAGTCTCACTCATCCGACTCATTTTCAAGTTTCTTTAACTTAGTCTTTCTCACGCGCTTGTTTTGGTTGTGTGCTCGTGATGCTCCCAGCGAAATTGGGTCTTTCTATTTTCAATCTTTGCTAGGTCCAAACATCGAAACCTTAACATGTAAACAAGCGCCAGTGCTGTGGACCTTTTTGGTTCCGTTTGGTGTAGACAACGGGCTATGTTTCATGCGAACCCTGGTGAACATTTTGGCAAAATGGATGATTTTAAGGGAAGTTAGCGTTGAATTACAAAATCTAACTCCTTTGCCAAGGCAGCACTTTGGAATTTCATATGCAACTGAGGCTCATGGATTTTGGACCTTCAAGGGATATGCGCTGGTTAACGCCATGAAACTGATGCATTCCAGTGATCAAAGAAGTAAATTTCCTGCCATTGGAGCCAAGGAGTCATTGTTAAGATATGCCCTTGCACACCAGCAGCTTGAGGCAGCCATTCATTTGGAATACTCTGTTGGATTCTAGGACGGTTATATTCAGGTAAGAGCACGTGTTGACAAACGCCTCCACGTGGCTAAACTAGGATTTAGGAAAAAAGAGGATGCCATGGATTATTATTTCGATGAAAGACACTTTCCATCGAGGATCCGAGTTTGGGTTGGGCCTGAAGTTGGGTCAACATATGTGTCCGGGTTAAGCCTGGGTTGCTCAACTGACAATGGTGGAAGAGAAGTAGAAACGCAAAGAATCGTTAAAGAGAGTTTCGGAAAATCGAAGACTTCAGGAATTAAAGCCAAAGCAAGAGTGTCCATGAGGAACAAGACGAAGAACTGGAGGTGGGATCAAGACGCAGAAGGGAATACTGCGGTGTTTGATGCAGTTTTAAGTGACAGTGTGACAGGCCATGAAATTGCCACATGGAAGTCGTTCGATAATGGTAACAGTCTCAAATGCAACAATAGTTTTCAGAATAGGTATTATGGGGTTAACAGGCCATTTACGAAAGCTGGTGGGTTGGTTTTTGCTGGAGATGATTATGGGGAACGAGTGGGATGGAGATTAAGCAAAGAAATGGAAGGAAGTGTTTTGAAGTGGAGAAATGGAGGGGAAGTCCGGTTAAGTTATTGGCCTAACAACATCAGAAATTCTTATGTCGAGACAATGTGTGTGGAAATGGTGTGATGAAGTTGATTTGCCATTGATTCCCGCAAAATAGAATATTAGAGATTTTGAGCTTGTAGACAACCAATATATAGTGCAAACTATTTTATAGTAGAGGACCTCCTAGGCCTTACTTTGAACAATCGCATTGGATCATAATCCTTTTTTAGATAATTTTTTTTTAAAAAAATCAATAGTATTAATAAAATCTGGCTTTTTTGCTAGTCTTTATGTACTTGTAACTGAATATTGTATCCTGACTGACAGATAGAAATGGATGCCAATTGTCATGGTCTTTTAGAACGTGTAAGTACTATTTTGATTAAGTTTGTTTCTTTTGATCCCTTGTGTTGTATCACAAGTTTATAATCCATCTCGATAGACTCACATTTCAAATGAGTAGTACTAGTAAAAATTTAAAGGAATGACGCTGAGCAATGACTTAAAAAAAAAAAAAAAGAAGAAAGAATGTTGTTATTTGCATCTTAACTTATTAATACATTCAAAAAATTTAACATTTAATGAAATTATTTAAATAATCGTTAATTATTTATTTTTTTACATTTTTTAAAAATTTATATCTAAAAACTTTTAAAATTTTTTGAAAATATATTTTAAAAAGTTTTTAATTACACTCAAATATTTCGACATAAAATCTTAATTTAAATATAAAATTAAACAAAAAATAATAATAAAAAATTATCTTTAATTTTATGTTTTTTTTAACTTAAATGTTTAAAATTTTCTTTGAATTTGATTAGATTGGGGTTTAAAATCCTTTAGGTTTTAAATTGAGAAGAAAGAAAAAATGGATTATGAGGAGATGAAGTGTTTGAATTTTTGGAAAATTTATATTTTAAATTTAGATTATGTTGGGTAAAAAATTAAGCATTAATAACAATGAGGCAGGAAAAGCGGAAGTCGGAATGCAATGACTGTCACTAAAAAAAAAAAAAAACAATACTTTATTGGGTACATCATTATGCAAAAAAGCAAAAGAAAAAAAAAAGAAGGGAAAAGAAAGAACCCACATTCTTATATACTTCTTTAATCACAAGTCCAAAGTTGATCCAAATGCCCATATAGATGCCTCAAATAACCAGCCTACTACCAAAACTAGAAAACACCACGGCCCAAGCAAAAAATATATATTTGTTTCCTAACAAACCAAACAAAAAATTATAACTAAAAAAAAAACTTCCGACAAAAGCCAGAAAGAAAGTATCGAAGGTGGATTAGTTGGTATTCTTACAATTTCTAGTTCTAATTTTCCGGTAATGGGAGATGAACAGTGGGTTATGGTGCGGCGACCCACAGTGTCAGACCTCTGGAATCCAAACTCGATGGGCTGCTCCCACTTCCACTGTTCAACTTCAAGGCCACTGAAAGTCATTTTCAAGGAACCCGCCAAGTACTGGACCGACGCCCTTCCCATTGGCAATGGTCGTCTTGGTGCCATGGTTTGGGGTGGCGTCGCTTCCGAACTTATCCAGCTAAACGGTAAACTAAAATTACAATTTTCCTTTTCCTTTTCCTTTTTTAGAAATTTTATCAAATTATGTTTAAGCACTTGTTTATGTTTCTGAATTTCCTTTACCCTCATGTTTAAGTCATTTCCTATTCCTAGCTTCAACCATGAAAACAAAGAAGAGAATGAAAAGACCATTACAAAATGTATACATTACATTACATGTGGGTATAACACTTGTTTCTGTCTACAAATTATGGGTAAAATTAGTTGAAAATGACCGTATATTATGAATTATGCTGTAGAGGACACACTTTGGACTGGGGTTCCTGGAAATTACACAAACCCCAATGCGCCAAGTGCACTATCAGAGGTTAGAAAGCTTGTTGATAGTGGAGAATATGCTGAAGCTACTTCAGCAGCAGCCAAGTTGGTTGGAAATCCTGCAGATGTATGTTGCTTCATATCCTTTATGTATTTTTTAACTTGAAAAAAGGCATGTAAATATATAGAATTTCCAAACTCTTCCTGTAGTTTAAGTCATGAATTAGATGTCAGTTGCAGTGATTCTACGGGAAAAATTGAAATTGTTTTAAGAAGTTTATCCGGGTGGTTGTCTTTTTATGATGAAGGTTTATCAACTACTTGGTGATATCAAGCTGGAATTTGATGATTCTCATCTGAATTATGCTAAAGAAACGTATCAAAGAGAGCTGGACTTGGATACTGCAACTGTTCAAATAAAATATACTGTGGGTGACGTAGAATTTTCCAGAGAGCATTTCACCTCTAATCCCAACCAAGTTATGGTAACAAAGATTGCTGGAAGCAAACCTGGGTCTTTATCCTTTACTGTATCACTGGACAGCAAGTTAGATCACCATTGCCAGATGAACGGCAAAAGTCAGATTATAATGGAAGGCCATTGCCCTGAAAAAAGAATCCCACCACAAGTGTATGCAAATGACAATCCAAAGGGTATTCAGTTTTCTTCTGTTCTTGATTTACAGATTAGTAAGGGAAATGGCATGATCTCTATTCTAGATGACAACAAGTTGAGGGTTGAAGGTTCAGATTGGGCAATTTTGCTTCTGGTGGCATCATCTTCATTTGATGGGCCATTCACTAAGCCTTCAGATTCTAAAAGGGATCCTACTTCAAATTCTCTCACTGTGTTGAAATCAATCATAAATCTCTCATATGCTGGTCTTTATGCTCATCATATTGATGACTATCAGAATCTTTTTCACCGCGTCTCACTTCAGCTTTCAAAAAGCTCTACATGTAATTTGTGTCTCAAGCAAAATCAAGATGATAGAGTTCCAACAGCAGAGAGAATTAAATCTTTTCAAATGGATGAAGATCCGTATTTGGTGGAGCTTCTGTTCCAATTTGGTCGATATTTGCTTATTTCTTCTTCACGACCTGGAACTCAAGTGGCAAACTTGCAAGGAATATGGAACAAAGATCTTGAGCCAGAATGGGAGTATGTCTACATTCTGTTTCTCTTATTTTTCTCATTTTCTTTCTTACTTTCTTCAATTTGAGCACATGCAATTGTGATTTTTGTCATGTCAAACCTTATAATTATATCTATTGGTTTCATTTCTATCAAGGTGTCATCTGGACTGTGACTGACTCTGTAATCTCTGTTCCTCAGTTCTGCGCCTCATTTGAACATCAATCTTGAAATGAATTATTGGCCTTCCTTGCCTTGCAACCTTAGTGAATGCCAGGAGCCCTTATTTGATTTCCTCACTTCTCTATCAGTCAATGGATGTAAAACTGCAAAAGTAAGAAGAGTTTTCTCTTTACCCTAAAACCCCTCTAAACTGATTTACTCTCATATCTATAACTTGTTTATACCTGCTAAATTACATGGGTTCAAGTATTCCGATTCTTGCAATTACTTGAAAATCATTGGTCCTGCATTTAGCATCGGAGTTGTATGCTACAAAGAGTTAGGATGTTTTACATATTTACTCATGTATAATCTATATGCAGATATCTTACTTAGTAGTGTTTTGCCTAACTAGACTAATATAGTGCCTATTCTCCTTTTCCCACCAAGAAACCATAACTTTACAACAATAGAGCTGGAAAATATTAATATATTATGGCTTGTGGTTCATATTTTCCTCCTTTTTCCATTCTGCATTTCTTCATATGAAAATTTCTTTCTAATTTGCGTAATGTAACAGGTCAACTATGAAGCAAGTGGTTGGGTTGTACATCATAAATCTGACATATGGGCAAAATCATCAGTGGATGCTGGTAACGTTGATTGGGCATTGTGGCCCATGGGTGGGTCCTGGCTTTGTGTCCATCTATGGGAGCACTACATATATACCATGGACAATGTGAGATCCCAATATTTTTGTAACTTTCCATTACCTGGAAAAACATTATCACAAAAATTAGTTCCTTGTTTGAGGAATGCCATTATTTCTCTTATCTCAGAAATTTTTTCTTGCTGTTGTACATTAAGCATGCACTATGAAGTGCCTTCATGACTGAAAGCACAGTTTTATTGATTTCCTTCATTAACTGAGAAGAATTTACTTATTTTAATCTAGTGGCATGGTACTGCTGATAGTTTCATTTTCTTATCACATATTACATTAAAAGAATGAGTTTTAATATTAATGTGCTTCTAGTTCTTCTATTTGATTAGGATTTTCTTAAAGACAAGGCATATCCTTTGTTGGAAGGATGTGGGCTATTTCTGTTAGATTGGTTGATTGAAGGACAAGGAGGTTATCTTGAAACTAACCCATCAACCTCTCCTGAACATGACTTTATTGCTCCAGCTGGTAAACGTGCTAGTGTGAGCTATTCATCAACCATGGACATGGCAATCATAAAGGAAGTCTTCTCTGTGATTGTTGCAGCCGCTGAGGTAAATCCTTTATTCTATAGTTAACAAGAAGAATCCTAGTTCTCTATTTCTCTAAATTCTTTTTTTTTTTAAGAAATGGTGCAGGTTTTGGATAAAAATGAGGATGATCTAGTAAAAAGAGTGCATAAGGCTCAATCGAGGCTTTATCCAACCAAAATTGCTAAAGATGGTTCCATCATGGAATGGGTATGTTAGTAGTTTGACAAAACTTGAAGTAATTTTTCAAGATCTTGATGTTGAGTCATAAGTTCTTCTGTCTGCAAAATCTGTTGACACTTTTTCTTGGTTAAGAATTTTCCTGCTTGATAGACAGGCACAAGATTTTCATGACCCAGATGTGCATCACCGACATCTTTCACACTTGTTTGGCCTGTTTCCTGGACACACAGTAACAATTGAAAGTACACCAGACCTTTGCAAAGCTGCAGAGATTACACTTCATAAACGAGGTTGGTCTTTGTTTGCAATCTGGATTGTTTATGTTAACCTTTCAGCACCCTTCTACTTTATTGGTCTTCAGCATCCACCCTCTGCTGTTAGCGTCCTGTGCTTTTTTGGTTTTTAACTAGTTGGTTTTCTATGGTGAAAAAGTGTATAATTGAGATGAGACTAATCCTCTAGAGTAAGGGTATCCTTGACTAAGACAATATAAAACATAAATAAAGAATATATGTCAATATTAATTGTCAAAATATGAGATTATATTATTTATTGCATGTGAAAGATGTTTATTCAATGGGATGAAGGACTGTGTTTATGTTGATGGAATCAACTGATTTGGTTTAGGCTTAGCTTAGTTTGTTGACTATCAGTCTATAAACAATTTGCGGATCCTACCTAAAATAGCACATAGCTTGAGAATACAATTCTCTATTCTAACAACTGTTTTGTGTATTCCATCGGATTAAATTATACTGTAGAAATAATTTTAGGTTTCAAGCTGATTATTTCTAAGAGTAACAGTCAGGCAGCATTTTCTCTTATATTTTCATCATTTTACCAGGAGAGGAGGGACCGGGATGGTCAACCACATGGAAAGCTGCTTTGTGGGCACGCCTTCATAACAGTGAGAACTCTTATCGGATGGTCAAGCATTTAATAAACTTTGTGGATCCGGAACATGAGGTAGCTTTTGAAGGTGGACTATACAGTAATTTATTTGCAGCGCACCCTCCTTTTTCAGATTGATGCCAACTTTGGGTAAGCTAAACTTCTGCTTTTGCCATCAATTACGTGTGGCATTTGGTTCAAACTGCCCTAGTTTGATTCAAGCATGATGCCAGGTATTTGTTTACAAAATTTGGAAGTAAAAGAATATTGTTACGTTGAAGACCCGTGCCTCTCTCTTGTTTATTATATCCAGTGATGAACTTCTATGCCTCAGTTTTCATTCCTTATATGCGGATTCCTTCCTTAAGCCATAGATTGTATTTGAATTATTCCACTTAAAGATCATCAAAAAAAATTTTATTCAGTTGGCTTTTTGAACCTAGTTGTTTTTTGCTACCACTGCTTTCAGACGTTAGAAACATATAAAATTGACCAAGTTGTTATTTTTGCAAATTTTGGTGTCAGCCTTACAGCAGCAATTACAGAAATGCTAGTTCAAAGTACCTTGGAAGACCTTTACTTGCTCCCTGCACTTCCCCGGGATAAATGGGCAAATGGATGTGTGAAAGGATTGATGGCACGAGGGGGAGTGACTGTCAACATATGCTGGAAAGAAGGAAATCTTCAGGAAGTTGGTCTTTGGTTGAAAAACCAGAATTCTTTGAAAAGACTAAGGTATAGAGAAACTATGGTACCTGTAAATCTATCCTGTGAAAAAATCTACACATACAATGGGCAGTTAGAATGTGTGAGTACTTGCTCCCTCCTGTAATCAGAAGGATCGGATGCGGATCCTTGTGGATGGTGGACACTCCATAAATTTGAGGAACTTTGGTTCCAATTTCGTCTGTTCTATGTTACGCCATTAGTTTTGCTTTCTGATCGATACTTGTAGAGGAAATAAAGATTTGCTCCTTTCTTGTTTTGTTGTTTCAGTACATTGCATTGAAATCTGTATTATTGTACTTTGAGTAAAGCCCACAAAATTCTAACAACCCAAGATCAGCGGTTTTTATGGGTCATGTTTGGGACAAAGGCAGAGAAAGTCTGACCAACTTAAAACGGTCGAATGGCCCATAAAGTCCTTAATTGGGAAAATACCCAAACACCCCCTTCTTAAACCCTAACCAAAACCTCTATCACGAGTACAATCTCACGCATAACGCTTCGCTGGTAAAATGGCCTGGCGTGGTGCAGGATCCTTCTCTCGCTATTCTGCCGCCAGAGCTTCTTCGCTCCGCAACCCTCAGCCGCTGCCTCGCCTCCGTCCCCCGACTTCCTCTTCTACCCGCTTCCAGTCCCGCCGCTTCTCCTTCGCCCCTTCCAGGTCCTTACTTTAAACACCCCTTTTGGCTCCTTATTGGGTAAAAAAAGAAGAAAAAGAAACGGAAAATTGCTAATTTTTTAGTTAACATTGAATTTTTTTTATTATAAATGTATTAGAAATGACAGTTAGTCGAGATTTATTGGCCTCCGAATCAATTCGAGGTCCAAGTCCTGTCGTGTTTTTGAAATTATTTACTATCTTTTACTATTCGTTTATTGATGGCAAAAGGTAGCTGTAAAATAAATGTTTAGTCAAGATTTTGAGTCTTATTCGAGTTAGATGGTTCTTTCAATTTAGGGAAAGTACTAATTTTCTTTTCCGTAAATTTCCTAAGATCATATGGTTCAGTGGGAATCACAAGGGACACTTTTATATGAAAGTTATAGTCTGCTGACATTTTTCTAGTGTCAAAAGAAAGCTTGAATCTCTGCAGACATTTTGGTTTTCTTGTAATGTTTCAGGAATTCTGGAGTATTGGGATGTGTCCAATCATTCTTGCCTCTGCATAGCGTGGTTCCCACAGCCCGTCTCACGTCCCACCTGACCGTTAACGCCCGTGCTTGTTGCGAGCTGTCTCATGGTACCTTTCGCCGTACTTGTCCGGATCGCTAGTGATCTCTTTGTGAGTCTTACTATTTCTAGGATACATGGAAAACCGGAGTTTTTCTGGACTTTTGTTATTCACATCTCTTGAGACTTGAATAACTTCAAATTTGCAAAGTAGATATTTAGTGTTTTTATAATTGCTTTATAATTTGTGTTAATTTACCTAAATAGACATAAATTAGATGGATTTGTTAGTTGTTTAAATTCAGTTAATGAGAAGGAATTGGGATTGGGATTTATGGGGAGGAATGGAAAAGATGGGCGATGCATGAGGACTTTCAATCAGCTAAAGGGGAGACAATGATACAACATTGTAGGTTTCTCTTTTTTTGTTATTATTAACTTACTTTTTATTATGAAAGTATAGACAATCATACTTAATCAACAATTTGTAACTAAAGCCTTGGAATATAAACTAAGAAACATTGGATTTAACTGCTTCTGTGGTTGACATGTTTTAGCCTTTTTTCTCTTATTGTTATAAATAAATACTTTCAGGGATCTAGCTCTTTAATATGTTGGTCATTCAGTGTTGCCACTGTCATAGGCAATTTGACAAAAGGAATGGGTGAAAAGACCTAACATTTCCTTGTTAAATCAGTATAAAATTTCATTACCTAATTATGGTCCAGCAACCCAAGAGCAGTGATCTAGCTTTGGTCCTATCGCTTTTAATACTCCTCACAAAGTGACTATTCTCAGATTTTAATTTATATTTTCTTGATTATCAGTACTAGATTTTTTACTTTTGCACCACACTTTTTCCTTATGTTACGCTATAATAAAAAAGGAATTTAACTGTCTTTACCTGTTTAACTTCAGCTTTTCAAATATTTGATCCTTAGTGTTTTGTAGAACATTCATGCTGGTGATTTAGTACTTTGTACCCTATTGGAAAGGGTTGGAAGGTTTCTCAACTGAATGTAATGTTTGTGTTACATACTGTCATTGGTATTTAGTGCCACTGTCTGACTTGGTGGTTAACCACAAATATTAGATTTCCAAAGTGCATTGCACCATGCTTCTAACTAAACTGTTCTCTAATTTAAAAAAATGACATGTTAGGGTGACGGTGTTTCTCACATTTTTGCTTTTGATGATCACTTAAAGCATTTTGCTAAAAGTTTTGCAACTATTGGGAATTCTTGTTACCCCTTATATTTGTAGGCCTCTAGACTCTTATAATTTTGTTACTTTGATTGTGGGTATTCTTCTCAAACTTGGGTTTATAAGGGTTGTGCTTTGTCTTTGTGGGTGAAGAATTCTCTCTTTGACTAGCACGCTTTGCATGTAAGTAAAAATCAATTTCATTAATGATTTGTTGGTTGAATTATATTTGTTATACAACAAATAAATTTGATACAGCTTGAGGTTAACCGTACTTTAACAGCTTATCCTAAGTGATTGAGAACCTTATGTGGATAAATTTTTGCACTTCCATTGCAGGTACTTGAAAGGCCATGGATTAGCACAGCTGAGTGCAACTACCGATTGAGGGAGTCAGAGGTTAGTTTGTCCTGTGGGGAGTCAGAGGCTAGATTTTCTGATTTGGAAATTCCAATAGAAACATGTTTTCTTTTATGCTACTGCCGGGAAGAAACCTGTAATTTTCTTATACGATCACCCTGTAGGCACTTTAGTTGCTCCTATTGATCAATTACTTGTGTTTGTGGTTAGTTTTTGTGATGTATGTTGTTGAAAGCTTTAACATAACTTCTGTTTAATACTTTTGTAGTGTATGATTTCACATTTCTCATGCACATAACAAATTTACTGTGATTGCCTGAATTAGCGCACAAGTTATCGAGCATATTGTGCCTGTAGAGTTTTGATACTTTGCTCAGCACCAATGAGCACATGGGGTGCCTCTAATGAGCACACGCAGTTCGTGCTGTCAGTCCATGCAGCATGACCCACTTGACTGACATGTTTGCGGAGCAATTGAAGCTCCAATTTTGACATTCGGTGGATTGCCCAAAACAATTGGTCATCTAGTGGGAGATGGCCCATGTGCTTCCAGAGCAAATCAATCCCATGGTTGCCTATTTCCACTAAATTGAGCTTCCTCCATTACTGATTTTTCTGTCTAGAACGTTTTGACTGTGGTTCTTTTTGACGGTTTAGTTTATGAACCCTAGTTTCTTATGTCATCTACCTAAGATTGCCAGTTTATCGATGGATTGCCTTTATTATCAATTCAGGAAGAATTCTTTTTCTTTTCTAGAAAAGAAAAGTAACAGAATTGATTATTTTTAACCCTTTATTATCAATTCACAAACTCTTTGCTATTAATCATCTAACTGAAAATTTCCCCAACAGCCCAAAAGAAAATTTTCCAGAAAACGAGAAAAAGAAAACGACCCTGGGAAAGGAAAAAAAAAAAAAAAAAAGAAGCTACTACTTTGTATTGCAAAAATTACATAGAGGAAAACGAGGCAAAATCCAAGTAAAATTGTAAAGTGATGCTTCCCCGTGACTTATTATTTCAGGTTTTTTTTTTTGCTTTATCTCTCGTCACTCGGAATAAAAAAGGGTGGCTTCAAATTCTCATATCACCATCAGAAAAGCAGCCAACCAGTTGGGTATGGAGATTCTTAGGTGTAGAGCAAGTGCTTTTAAAACCAAGTTCATAAAAGTTCAGTGAATTCCAAAAAGTGATAACAATTGAACATATGCCTACGAATCATCACTGTTATCACTAATCACCCTCAGCACCCATTGATCTGATTCGTCTCTTTAGATCTCTCACTTATTTTGGAGAATCCATTACAAAGCAATGCATACGTTGACAAATAATGTTCACAAAGTGTTGATATTCTTTACCCTTTTATCAGCTATCACCGGCCAACAAATGCGCGAATTATAGGTAGAATGTTGAATTTTTTGTTTTAATGTTTAAATAATGATAACTTTAAATTAAAAAAAAAAAAAAAACTATTAACCTTTTTCAGATTTCAATGTCAAACAAATTGAAACTAATCCCTTGCATATTTTTTTAACAGGAACCTGCCTCCTTCATCACAAGTAATGCTTGCCTAGAAATCCAACAATAGAGTACTTGACTTATTAATAATTGTATGTATCCTTACTTCAATAATTACTTTCAAATCTTCTTTGTTCACAAATGAAATTGAAATGTTCTTTCTGATCAATAGAAAGGCATGTCAATAATGTGCAAACGATCCACAGGAAATTGATGCTGGTACCAAGTCTTTTGCTAAAACATGAGCTAGTTACTACAGTTCACATGAAATATTTACTACTCCCACCAACCAACCGTTCTTCGGATCCTTTGTAATTGCAACTTGCAATTCTGATAGTCTCGAGGTTAGACCAACTTCACTGCTTAGAGATTCGTTGTTCTTCCGGAGTTCATGTGATTGATGCACGAGGCGCACGTGTCCATTTTTTTTCCTTCACTTACCAAATAAATATAAATCAAACTATTTCCAGCCATGCTTTTTCATTTTTTTTATCAAATTCCGTACTTGGGAAGAACTCGTAAGCAGTACTATTACATGTTTTTTTGCACACCAGGGAGTAACGTGAACTCGAAATCTAGGGTCTTATGAAACACATTTTTTAGTCTTTTGGTAAACGCCAAGGGCAAGTTGCAAAATGGGCATGAACCTTTACTTGACTTCTTTGTCTTTGATTATCGTCCATTAATTACTCCTAGTCGAAATAGGCTTAATATCTTAATGTCGAAACTAAAAAGGTTGTTTCCTCTAGAAGGAGTACTGTAAGGATCAGATAATCTATGTCACCAAATCCAAAGAAGTTACTGTGTACGGTCTGATCGTCCATTTCTATCAGTGGGATGACAAATAGAGGAGGAGAATTAGTAAGTCATTCAACGGGGCAATTGGGTAGATTTTTAGAATTTTAAAACGGGTAAAATATGAAAATGATATGAAATGATAGATTTTAAAATTTTAATAAAAATTATATATAAATTTAATAAAATTAAAAAAAAATATATTAAGTGTTGGATATATAAATTTAATATAATAATTTCATATTTTATATGTATTTGATATAAATAAATATTATATTAATATAAAAAAGTTGTATTTAGGCAAATATATATATTTATATGAATGCTAGCACGTCCACGAACGGAGAGAAATAAGTTGCTAAGAAAGCTGAGACCCAAGTTTTTATAACAAAAAGAGACTTAAGTACAAGTGGGCTCTTAATGCACTTCTCCCTGCTGTTCATATGCTTTGCCTGCTGCCTGTTTTGAAGCAAAGCCAAGAAGTCTCAACATGAAGACACCTGCATAGATATTCTTGTCCAAGAAAAACAACTTATTAAGGTACCATCCTATCTTATTTCTTGCTTTACCACCATTATTTCGATTGGCCATTCTCTGGGTCCCATTACTCATCTGCCAGAGTACTTACCTTTTATTCTATGAATTTATGCTTAAAACACTCATAATCAGCTTGGGGGAAAGTCACCAAAGCTATGATTATATGGAAAATTAATTTGCTTAAGTGCTTGGGTGAATGGTACAAAAACAAATGGCTAGCGGGAAGCAGTACAAATACTTTGGCGGATTGTGATGATTTTGACCATGAATGCAACTTTGTGTTGGGTTGTCAACCCTGAATTTCTTACTAACTCCTAAAGGAATCATGTAAAGGCGTTCTCATTTGAGGAAAGAACAGAAGCAGAAAGATGAAAGTTGGGAATCCTAAGCTTGATAAGACAACACTAAAGATGACATAAGCATTGTCCCATGGAAAAACCAAAGCATCTCAGGGTGGGGTCTATGAATTGAAATGTGATGAAATTAAAAAATTAAAAAAAAAAGACTAACATCAAACCTCATAGTCTCCATTTGTTTCTCCTCTCCCAGTTTGATCCAACTCTTCAAACTATACCAAATTTCACAAAGACCTTTGTGTTCTTTCGACTTCTTTTGTCGCCCTACCTGATTCTGAATTACGGAGAAATGATTTTCCAAAGAGAAGAAGCGGCTGAAACTGAAAGTATATCTACCAAACAACAAAGTGAGCTAAGAATTAATGATGAAAGCAATGACGCAATTGAAGAGGAGAACCCAGCAGAGTGGTTGAACCTGACCCTCGGGGGGAATTCACTTTCAACAGCTGGAGACTCTGACCCCCACTCAAGGCCAGTTTCTACTAAGGTTTTCTCTTGTAACTTTTGCATGAGGAAGTTTTACAGTTCACAAGCCTTGGGTGGCCACCAGAACGCCCACAAGCGGGAGAGAGGTGCAGCCAGAAGATACCACTCCCAGAGGATGATGTCAATGATGGGTTTGCCAATGAGTACACAAATGGTTAGATCACTTGGCGTCCGACCACATTCCCTTGTGCACAAATCAAGCAGAGATGGAGCTGCAAGTGTAGCAAGATTTAATGATACTTGCACTGGTTTTGGAATGACAGGAATGCACTTTACAGTTGATGATGCGATGGTTTTCATGTGGCCAGGCAGCTTCCGCTTGGATCCTCAACTACCCAAACCACCATCAGACCCATCCAAACTTGACTTGAATCTTCGACTCTAGCTTATCCAGCTATTCTCCTGTCTAAGTTTGGAAGTCTCTTTTATCTCTTATCTTGGAACAGTTCTTGATTTGTTCATCCATGAATTACAGATACTCAGGTTGGAGCCTGACGCCTAGTAACTAGAAGAAACGCCAAGAATATCCTTTCAATGTGCATTGGTATTTAGTTATTAGTATGTCTATTCCTTTTTCTGCTTCCAGCTTCTTCAAAATGCAAGAATCAAGATCACCCCAAGAGATTGTGGGGTGTTTTTTTTTTTTTTTTTGGTATCAATTGGATCTCTTGACAATAACCATAGAATTGAAATATCCCTTTAATTTTAGTCCTTTCTAGTTTCTTCATGCCTAAATAAATCCAGATGTGTCATGCTGAAATCTAATTTAAGTTTTGAAGAATTCCATCAATTTGTAAGTCGAAAACAGTGAAAATTGTTTGTTCCACCCTCGAGAAGTTGGCTGTAATGAATCTCCGATAATATCTTATGTCAAGAGATAAAGAAGGTATTCCACGCATCAAAAGAGAGACTTGGTTATACGCTATACGAAAGTTATGGTTTGTAGACCACGGCCAGCTGACCAGGGTCAGAGTTATAATTCCAATGAAGCAACGTTCAAGAGCTGTACAAACACACGACTAAATTTATCTGCAAAAGCGTGGTGGGGAAACAGTACCAAGAAAGGAAAACATAAACCAATCTCTTCCTTCCATTTTCCATCATAATTTTCCCCTTCCTATACTAATCCCATTGGTCTAAATTGTCCTTGAACAAAAATCTTATCCAGAATCTATAAACCAAAAAAGAAAAGAAATGGGAGTGCATTAAAATTGACCCACCCTATTTGATTGTAAGTCACCAAAAAAAGTACAGGACAAGATAAAGGCTAGTTGACAGTAGTTAGCCAAAGAACCATTGTTGTGAATTGTTAGCAGCAACTGGGCCGTTTCACCCATTAATTCTTTGTATCTCGTAAATCATGTCTTCTACCGGAGTCCTAAACCTTAGCGCCCCTTTTCTTCTTTTACTAGACGGCCGGCTGCACTTGGTTTGAGATCTTGCCAGTATGCCAGGCATATTTGTTGGACTTGGAGTCTTCCCATTTGCAAGTCTATAGCCATTTGGCAGGTCTAAAGTTTAGGATTTGGCAATTTTACTGGTACGGATTGGTTGCAGTGGCAGTGGAAGATTACCTCAGCACATAAAAGCTTAATTTCACAATTGCGAATTAGTCTTTTTGCATGTGTCTTCAGCTAGGCTTTAGTCAAAGCCACTTGAATCCCAGTTCCTCACAGCAATTAATCCATCTAGTAAGTATTTCAAAGACATTTCCAAGAGCTTTAAATTTCAATACTACAAGTTGCGCTATGTTTAGCAGCTCACTTGAAGCAATGATCTTCTGCACTAATCTTCCAATCAGATCACCATTTCCAAAAGTTCCTTTGCTTAATTTATCTTCAATCTTTGGATTTGTCATGGTTACTGTTAGAAAAGATGAAACTATGACACCTTAAACAAATATTAGATGGAGAATTCTTACTCTTGTAGAATTAGCTTGCTAATGGTACATGAAATGCATGAACAATGATTTTTTGCTTAAGGAATCCACCTAAATGGATCAAAATTCACAATGACCACATCATACAAATAATTTGAATCTGTTGTGCAAGGCAATTTACAGTCTACAAGTTAAGGGACTATAAGCTTTTGGGTCTGATGCATGATGACAGGAAGCCTTAGGCTGATGATGCTTGGATCACTATATGAAGCAGAATCAGTCGGATATCCTTTCTGCACCATAGTTAGAATAGCATCAAGAAGCAAAACAACATCACTGTCACAAGATTAAGCAAGAAAAGCTGCGATTGTTCATTATATATCTAAATAAGGTTCAATGTGCAAATTTTGGCGCATTACTTGATAGACAACATGGCAAGCTGAGAAGGAAAAGGTAGCTACTTGAAATAGTACATTTTAAAGTTTTCTAACCTCCTGTGACATAAAGAAATCCATTAAATGAGTTCTCATTTGCCACTGGTTTCGAGAAATGAAAAAAAAAAAATACTTAAAGTTGCAGCAACAAGGAAATAAGCTTGTCACTTGAACTTACAAGGAAAGGCCACAAGTTTCATAGATAACATTCCCTAGTACATATGTGCAAATAAATGCATGTGAGTGTGGCATAGGCACATGCAAACAAGCAGAGAGAAAGTGAATGAATGATCATATACTTACAGCAGACAAAGCTTGAAATGTGACTTCCCTCCAACATCTTTCTCGAAGAATAACAGGATGTGCACTCCCATCAAAAACACAATGCATACGGGTGTCCCTTAATCTCATTAGCACTCCATCAACCCGAAGCTGTTAGAAAAACTGACTAAGTGGCTGAAAGGGGAAATGAATTCAGAGAAATAGAAAGTATAAGTGCATCAGCTTATATCTTAAGAGTTTTTCAGGCAACCATCTGAACCAGAGCTTAGCATTTCTTGCAGGACAAATAGATTAAAAAAAAAAAAGAGGAGATGGGGCGAATAAAAGATTGCTAAGAAAATGCCAATTACATAGATTTGCCTAATCAAAAGCATTATGGTAGTCTCCCACTTACCCAAAATCGTAAGAGAAGAAACCAAGAACTTGGCATGACTCTCTAGAAAGAAAGAAAGAAAATAACGTAATCAGTTGTCTTCCATTCTAATTTTTGTAAAATTACAAGCCATTGTAAAAAACAAAACTTGTCTAAATTCAACATTTACCACTTTCACGGTAAGAAGTGACACCCCATTATCAGCCAATTCATCTTCATATAAAACTACCTGCTTAACAAACATGAATACATCTGTAACTGCAAACATAAGAATGTCAAGAAGAGCACATCAAATGCAATGTGTCATCTTTCAGGACTATGTTAATAGTTTAAGAAGCTGACCTCATCCTAGAAAAGAATAGGTTATTTTAATGTGAGTGCAGTCACATCAAGATGCTCTTTGCAATCCTCCCAATGGAGGCCCGACAGCCCCCCTGAAATTTCGCTTTCATGCTGATCACAATTTACAATGACAACAAAAGGAGCATCATCATTATTCTAAAAATCAAAGTAACTCTAGGAAACAAAGTTTGACCATTGGAAAAATTTCCAATTTCTCAATTCTCGAGACAAAAATATTGTTAATGCCTGACATAGTTCATGGCACAATTATATACATAAGAACAAAACCCTAATTCAAAAACAGAATTAAAAGTATGTTACATTTAAAATAAAACCCAGACCTTGTCTGAATCAAGGCAAACCATTTCACTTCCACAGTAAGGAGTCGTAAACGTATAGTCATAATCCAATATCACCCGCTGGGAGGGTTTACTGCAACATCCAAGCAATCAATTTTGCTTCACTTTTAGTTTGATATTAAAAAAAAATTAAAAATCAAACTAAATGATTCATAAACTCGAATGTAAATTAAATAAAAAGGCTAAAAAAAAAAGAATTCAACAATTTTACCTTCTGAATTTCCATTGAGCAGCTGCGGGGAACTTCAACAGGTGGCAAACCTTCCTGTTTCCAACCGGCCCAAGCATCGAATGCATTAAAATGAATTTTGGTGCCGCTGGCGACATGTTTAAGAACAAAAGCTTTCACCAAAAAATCATTTCGGGTAAGTGAGAAGTTTGGAGGTTTTGTTCCCATTTTTGGAGAGCCGAGTGAGTTGAGAATAGAGCGTTTACTAGACTCGATCTCCCATCCATGGATAAGTAAAACCTCGCCACCCATCTTTTCAAAAGTTCGGCTTCCCGCCGTTTTAGTGTCTTTCTCGGTCTTACTTCCACTTCCATATGCGGCCGATGTTAACAGACTTCACGCTTCTTTTTCCAACAATGAAGTTCCCTTCGGGTTATTCTCCGGCTTATATAGTCCACCGGGTCGGATTCTTTTTGGCACCAGCCCAATATTAATTTCGGAAAAGCCACAATTATTCCAGCATTTTAAAACCTCCGTTTTCTTTTTTTTTTTTTAATTATTATTATTATTATTATTATTATTCAAGTAGACTATCGCTGTTCCTGATGATAATCTTTAATCAAATATCATATTATAAATCAATTCTTATTTATAAATTACAAAATACAGATAACAAATGCTTTTTTAAGTGTTTGGAATGTCACGACCGTCTCTGGCATAAGCTAAATTGATGCATTTCATGGCAAATGCTAACTTTGTTAATTCCGGATTTTTTTTTTTTTTGGTCTGGATCTCTTGATTTTCGATAGTTATTTTGATTTTTGATTAATTTAAAATAGAATCTAGTCGGAATCAAAAAAAAATATTTTTAAATTTATTTATTTTTATTTAAAAGATTCGAAATTATGACTCTACTTAAACTAACAAACGTTGATATTGCGTGATTTTTTTTTTTTAGTTATAGGTGCCTGTCTGGTTAGATCTACAAAATTCATTATCTCAATTAACAAATTCCTTATCTGGATTCTGCCTCCTATGTGCATTAATTCAAAGCATAGGAGCTTTTGCTTCTCAATCACGATTTTGAATCTAAATCAGCTGCCTGAATCCCCCATTTCACCATTCCATTTCTCTTTCTTCATCTCCCTCTTTCTATTTTTGTTTGGAAGAGCCGAGGTAATTCACTTTCTTCTACTCTTTTGGCTGTGGTTTCGTGAATGGATGATGAATTGTTGAAACTCCAGCGAGGATTTTCAAACCATTGCTAACACGAGGAACTTGTGATCAGAAACCAAAAAAAAAAGGGAATTATGCTGATGAAAATTTCAAAAGTGAAGCAGTTGAGAAAAGATGACATTTAACGGCCGGCTGGAAAGTCATTTCAAAAGCTTGATTATACTGAAGTTTTTACTCTTGTTCCTGATTTATCAAAGTCACATTCCTGCTTTCACCATATTTACCTGCTTTACAGCTTTCCGAGTCTTCTATATGTTGATGAACCCAACTTTCTATCACTTGAACCAGATGCAGAAGCGCCTCCCTGTAATTCAGCAGGTGATAATTCTGTATCCTTATAATTTGACTTCTGCCGAGTTTTTCTCCTATGTTTATGCTCAGTCTCTTCTGGATTCTGCTTTAAACAATTGGAAACTGACACACTCCTACTTATAGCAGCATTTCCATTTGTTGGTTCTGAAGCTGCTTCTGCGTTACATTTCTTCCTTTTTCTTGGGGCAGTGATATCACTCCAATCTTCATCATCACTGGTACTAGAAGGAACATTGGCATATGTCTCCTGTATACACCCAAAAGAAAGATAAGCAGATCACCAAGGAAATGACTAAAACTTTTAATGACTGAACTGACAAAATGACGCCAAACAGACGCCATTTAGGACCGACTCCTTCATGCAAAAAGTAATATGAACTATGATAGCAATGAAACTTGGCAAGTTCTCTAAATGGGAAAAAAGAAAGACCAGAAGTGATATTTATGACAGGAGAGAGAACCTTTCCTTACTTGGTTTCTTAGAAACAGCAGCACCATCTTGTCCAGAAGCTGATTCCATTATCGTTAATAGCACAACATTCAAAGACTTCTTTCCACCAAGTTTAGGTTTTTGTCTCTTTGAATCTCTGGAAGCACTGGTAGACATAGAGCCTACATCTTTTTGAGAAGAAATATTATCTTCTAACGTAGCACCAAGATCCTCAGAATCAGACGTAAAATCTGAACTTGAGAACTTTCCGGCTTAGCCACATTATCATGATCTGGACCATCAGGATCATAATCACCATCCTCCGAGTCATCAGATGGAAGCCCCAAATAAACATTATGATCGACTTAATCGCCAACTGTCAGTGAGAGAAAAACTTGTTCCTTGAGATTCATTAACCAATTCAATTCAATCAACTTTGCAATCACATCCTGGCATAACCAACCCTCATCATCGGGGGGAACTGTATCAACCAGGGGAAAGGGGTGGAAAAAGAAAAGTATTATTGACATTAAACAATTTCGAAACCACTATCCAATTTACTACTATCAAGCAGGCAATGGAGAGTATTACTGTCTTCTTTTAACAAAGTCGGGTTGCAAGCAATATTGATGGAATCACAGTCACAAGCACCATCACCGAGTATGATATCATTGTCGGCAACAGGTCTTGGACCAACATTTTGCGCAGAATATCTGCAATAAAAGGATTTCATGTCTAAGCATTTCAACTTCCAAGGCAAATTATTATCATCAATAAGAAAATAGCAACTAAGATATATTAACAATGCTTATAACTATGATCTCCTACATCCTCACTGTCAATTTGCCCTTCAGAATCAAATAAAGATTCTGCAAGCGTTCCTTCAGCACATAATGAATCGATACGTAGAAATAAATCTCTAATTTTCAATTTGCATAGAAGAATTTCAGATGTAGCACGTTGAAGCTCCTCTGGCTTTAACTTTTCAAGGCTGCAGATCACACAAACAATCCAAAGCAACAAACA